GAAAATTTCGGTATAAGTTAAAAAAAAGTATTGAGCCCAGGTCACAGACAAAGGCTTGAATTGTTAGAAGATTGTATCGTGAATGTTACATAGCGTCCATGAAAGGCAAAAGTAATAACTAATACCCTAAGCCGCAGATCGGAATATAGCTTAAGCCTAAATAAAGGTTGGTGAGAAGAGAAAACTAAAGAGTTACATCAACTAAGTGAATTAGGAGTCTGATTATTAGACCCCGATGAGTACAGAAATTATGATTCAGAACATTGTAGAATCGCTCTAAATATCAAAGGTACAAAAGGGATAGTACAACTGCCATATTCTATAATGGCTCTACGATAAATCTAGTTAGAAGTCTACCAGCCTCATAAGAAGTCAGTATGAAGTTCCCACTGGATTGTATATGCACCAGAGGTGCAAGTATTATGGTAGATCTTTAAGGTGTGGATGTGAATTCCACCAATGTGGAAGGGAGGTTATTAAAGCCACAGAAGATACGATGCGAGATTTAAAGGTAAGCAAAGTAAAGGTAAATGAGGTACGACATACTCAACTGCAGAAGGTTGTGAATAGTCAAGACTTCCGATAGAGGGCTAAAAGCTCCATGATTCAGTGTCTAAATGTCATCAATAGCATATCTTCCACCCAATAGTTTCCAAGTACCGAAAGGTCTAGTTAAGAGAGTACAGAAAAGCTAGATATGGCGTGATGTTTCGCTTGAGGTTCCAAAATAACATAAGGAAATGTATGGTGTTATATAGTTAAGGAAGGCTGTAAGTACTATAAATATATATGTGTAGGTCACAAGCTAAAGTATGGTAGAGTGACAAAGTTTTAAGTAGATAGGAGTGAGGATGAGAAAAGATGGGTGAGAAGGTGACGAGAATAGGTAAGGCCTCGGGATTAAGCCCATCAAAATAAGAGGGTTAATGAACTCCATAAGTTATAGGAAGCTCAGTATAGCCTGAATGAGCTCAAAGAAGTCTAAGACTATGAGTGATTTGAAGAGGTGAAATATTGCATTGGTAGTAGAATAAGGGTGTAATTGTGATAGATAAGAGGATGACATTTAGGCCTTCGATTAGGGTAATTATTCAAAAAGAGAAGGTATTTCATGAATTGCATGAGATTAGAATACTCCCATAAGGTGAATCGCGTTGGGATGCGATGAAATACGGTTATTGAAGTATAGTATTGTCCCTAGGTGGAGCAGGCAAATAACTTCAATGTTCCCCGATGAGACATAAGCCCTAACAACAATTTATTACGTAAGAGGTTTCAAGTGATCAATGGTAGATTATATGTCAACATTAGGGTAAATCAACAATAGGCAGATAAAAGTTTCAAAGTATGAGATGGGATTAGGCCGTCATTCTTAAGATGAACAGTAATGAGGAAGAACTAAAGGGCTTAGATTTATACATATAGGATAAGCAGCGAGAGAGTAACCTGGAGTTGGGTAGCAGACCTCGGTAATACTAAATCAAAGTAAGTGTTATGGTATAGTATAACCTACCTAGATATAGTAAAGCCATAAGGATAGACATACAAGGCTATGAAACAAGATATAGTAATAGTTGTAAGTTCGATAAAGTACCGAGAAAAGAACTTCCGTACACCTATATATACCGGGAGAAACAACTTGTCATAGTTTTGTAGATGTTCCCAAAGTGAGGCCTAGAGATTGGCTAAAAACTGGGGGGGAAGGACAGAAGAGTCGCATAGGCGCATATACAAGGACAAAGTCATACAAGTTGCATGACAGAAGGTCGCAACAGTTACAATATTGGAAGAATTCTAACAACAAGTCGTGGTGTGAGAAAGAGGCCTAAAGGGGGAATGCCCTGGCCTTCAGATTTATTCACAAAACAATTGCCTAGATGTCAAGGACAATACTAAATTATTCGTAAGAGTTATAGGTTATGGACTGATAAGCGCATCATTCAACATTCGAGGACGAATGTTCCAAAGGAGGGAATGATGTTACACCCCATGTTTTCGTACGTAAGAGTATGTCATAAGTCAATTGATGTAAGCTCATAAATGAAATCATCTTTGAAAAATTTTCAAAGTAAGTTAATCATGTTAACGTGGAAGTTACAAATATTTAAGATCATGAATACCAAGTACCAAGAGGGTTTGAAGGCTTAGAAACTAAACGAATTGAAGAAAATAAGTTTTGTCGAAAGTCGACCAGTTGGAATGTTATAACATGTACTTTTGGGGTGAGACTAGGGTAATTAACATTATAAGGAGATTATGTTATGATTTATATCGTATGATAGTTGTGTGTTATGTTTTGAAGTCAAGCGAGTTGTAGAACAAAAGTTGGTATATAATCCCTATCTCATTTTTTCTCTTCATTTATCCATTGAACACGACCAGAGAACACCCCCTAAACATAACTTAAGTTCTATTCGAGGGTTTTAAAGAGGATTATCATCCCGGGTACAAAATCAAGAAGCGATAACACTAGAACAATCCCTACGACGTAAGTATCATTATACCGCCTCTCTTTTTTCTTTGTAGTTCGATTTTTGGAAGGTACTTCAAAGTTAAGAAACGTCTAATCTATGTATTTAAGTATTTAAATATCAAGGAAGGTTGATAAATTTATTTTTTAATAGTTAGAACTCACGGGACGGTGATCGGAAGCCGTGAGTTCGAGTTATTTGACCTGTAGTGGATTGTTTGTGGGTTGTTTTGTGTTGGCCTCTTATGTTGATGTTTTATGGGGTTTTGGAGGAGAAAAGGTGTGGGGAAACAACACATAATGACGGAATGGTAGGCTGGTTGTTCGTCGTTACTTTTTTTAGATTGTTTGGCACTACTTTGGTTGCCGTTTTATGTATGAAGTGATTAGGGGTATGTGCTGTTTTGTTGTATATTGTGATAGAGATAAGGTTGGAAAATGATGCATACATGTTGTAATTGTTGTGTTCTTGTTGCTGTTGGTATATGGTATTGGAGGAGGGCCTTGTTACAGGGGATATACTGCCAAAATTTACGTAAACGAGCTACTAGTTTAAGTTCCAAACTTAGCCTTTACTCAGCACTGATTTTGAATCTCCTTATGTTGTGGTAGATTGAGTTGAGTTATTTGAAGAATTGCTTGGAAGGTATTAAGGACTTAACGATGTTAAGGTATGTTATCTTTCATTTTGGCATGATCCAGTAACTACATGTTGTTGATAACAAGACATAAAGAGAAGTTCATATTCCGGAATTTATGTACATTTTCCTAGTCTCATATGTTATAGCATTCTCCTTTATCGGGACTTCATATTCAGTTAATTTTGTCTTCTGTCAGCCCAGAGTGTAGAGTGTCTATATATATACAGTATTACAGTATTTTTACTACCATCGAGCTATAATTGATGGGCATGCCCCTATTGGGCAACCTCTGATCAGATGGTGAGTTATATACCGAGCCTACTGTGGCCGAGCGCCTATGAGCAAGCCCAGAATGGCTGAGATACAGAGCCTAGTATGGCCGAGCGCCTATGAGCAAGCCTACTACGGCAGATCAGTTACACATACCGAGCCTTATAGGGCCGAACATCTATTTTACATACTCCCTCTGTTCCAATTTATGTGAACCTATTTCCTTTTTGGTTCGTTCAAAAAAGAATGACCCCTTTCTAAATTTGGTAACAATTTAGCTTAAACTTACAATTCTACCATCAATGAGAAACTTTTATAACCACACAAATATTCTAGATCCCTTTTTGAGTTGTTTAGGACAACAAATTCCAAAAGTCTTTATTTTTTCTTAAATTCTGTGCCCAGTCAAACAGGTTCACATAAATTGGAACGGAAGGAGTACTATATTGAGAGAGTTGAGTCAGTATCAGCAGGTAAGCATATCTTCAGGTTATCTTTGCCTCCCAGTTACTTTCAGTTATTATATTAACAATTCCGTTTCAGATTTCACTTATTCAGTTGCTTTACATACTCGGTACATTATTTCGTACTAACTACCCTTTTGTCGGGGACGCCGCATTTCATGCCTGCAGGTCCTGATAGACAGCTGGATAGACCTTCCTAGTAGACGTAGCCAAACATCAGCTTGGTTGGTAAGCTCCACTTCCCCGGAGTTATCAGGTCTAGATCTTGGAGTCCATTATATATATANGTTGCCCCTATAGGGTTGTAGACGAGTCATGTACATTTTTATACCAGTACTGTGGCTTTACCATCCCTATGTAGATGTTTAGTTTGATATTATTAGTTTTAGACGTTATTTCACATGATTCAGAATATGGCCTCATCGGCCTAAGTTGAGGGTTACCCCTCCAGAGTTCAGAGTTATAGAGTGGTACGCTCGGGCCGAGTATGGTACCGGGTGCCGGCCACGCCTCTCCAGGTTTGGGGCGTGACACGAAGGGCTGAATTTTTTGATGTATAGCGCTCTTTATACCCATTTAAATTATTGTTATGTCAGTTTACCGCATGAGACTTATTGGTGGGCCCACAAACAGGTATAGCGCGGTACATATATATATATATATATGTAACGCGCTATACATATCCGTCACATCAGGTCAGCATATCGCTGTTTATACATGTGTTATACATATATAACACGGTTTTACACCGCGTTATATATAGAATGATAACTCTTTTTTTTTACACATATTTATGTCACATTTGTCCAAAAAAAACCACAATTGGGTTCCGGACTCACTTAAGTTATACCGACAGTGTATGTAATGGTGCGCAGGAGTAAGAACAAACCCAACTTAGATTTTAATAACTGTGCCCAAAAAAAGGTAAAAACGTCAGTAATAATTTACAAACACCGCCTGCGCAGAGCAAGACTCTTGCTCAGGCCGGAGCAGAGTGTTTGGATATACAAAGGAACATGGAGACAAAAGAATAAGACCACGCTTGAAAAAATATCAGTGTCCTCCAAATTAATAAAGGTCAAGAATGCTATCCACATCGGCAGATTCTGACACATCTCAGCAAATTAATTAATAAAAAGGTAAAATAGAGAACACTGAATGCAACCCTCCAACCTAGATTATATTTCTGAATTAGAAGAAATAAATTACATGTCTCCTAAGATGCTGTTGCTGAATAATACAGAAGACTATAAATACAGGTGCCTAAGTCAACTAGAGAAACCCAAGAAATCTGAGCTTCATTGACAACTATACCCTTTTTCTTTTACACTTAAACTAATTCCTACAAGACTAGAACAAAGCCTACTTGTATGTGAGTTAGTAAGTGCTCTAACACATTAGAAAAACTATCCCTATCCCTCTTCATCATAATCTTCCTCTTCCTCATCTAACCCTCTGTTTAAGTTGGCCAGTTGCATCGGATCAATGGCCATCTTTTCCATCTCAGACAAGGACCATCCAGGGATTTCCTCATGCTTCACTTCAGGAGGTGCCATTTTTGATGTTGAAGGAGCTTCAGCTGGTATTGCTGTGGATTCCACACTCTCATTTAAGTCAATATTGAGATCGAAGTTTCTCGCAGGAACTTCTGGGTATTTGCCAGCCGAAATGTTCTTTGATTCTGCTGGTTCTGCTACATAGTCCATCCTTTCATCATTTTGCTTTTGCTTCTCATTATTTTGATTTGAAACATCAGCAGGGTCTTCAATTTTATCACAGTGAACATTGGAGTCTCCTCGCTCTACTGCTCGTGCACCTCTCCCACGGCCTCTACCCCTACCCCTGCCTCGTCCCCTCCCACTACCGCTGGTGTGTGCAGTATCATGCTGTGATTAAAAAATTAAAAAAAATATCACTATTATACAGGAGGCGCTGATATGGTGTTTTACACAGAAGAAATCAGACCACATACAGCTTTGCATGTCAAAAGTTGGTAGCGTGGTCTTGATGTCTAAACTAACAAATGGACCATCAATTATGGAAAACCCAAATTTTAAACCCAACATTATCTAAAAGAAATAATATCCATACCATGCGACTACTCCTTTTGATATCATCATCACTGTCATGATCATCTTCTTCAACAACTTTCCTGCATCAGCGAACAGTCAGCTGTTAATGATACAAATTCATCGCCCTGAAACCCATCACAGGCAAGAAAATGGGAAGTACAATTTTTTTACCTTCTTTTTGTAGCTGATTCGGCACCACCATCTGATCCGCCTAGATCAGGAACCCGGCTCACTACATCCTTGAGGAAATCAAACACATTAAAGCTCTGGATACATTGCTTCCTATGAAGTACAGGGACTGAGTTAGATGATAGCCAGAGAACTGGTATGATGTGTATAAAAACAGTTCATTGAACTTACAAATGGAATGAATTCATAGTTTTTGCTCCTTTCTTGAGGGTGATCTCATATGTTCGGTCACAAAGATCTTGCAGAAAGAGCTCAAGAGCTTTTGCTGAATATTACCGTTGACAAAATACAAGTTAGGATAAACAAAACTAAACACACACAAAAATTGATACCAAGAAGCAAAGGACGAATAAGGGTAAATAGCTCTCAAAACCAGCTGATTCAAAATGCTAAAATAAATTTAGTGAAAAGGACTTCCAAAAATACTTACAGACTAAAAGAGGAACAGCCATGGCAATCTTCCCCACATCTTCATCGGCTTGCATAATCTTTTTAATCCGCGCCTGCAAATAAATGCCAACGAGTATTAGAACAGTTAGAAACTTTGATTCAGTAATTTAATCAACAGAAACAATAAGTCCATAACAAGAGCTCATGAAACTTGTAAGCAGTTTCATTCACGTTCAGATGTCACCGTACAAATATTTTAAAATAATAAAAAGAGCAAAACTCTCAAATTACAGTCATAAAAATTCCTTCTTGAAACCAAATATCAGTACACGATATTGTTGAATCACGAGAGAAACAGACTACCATGCAACACCAAACTTTTGTTTCATGCGCATTCCCCCCATTTAGTTTGTATAGGGGTAAGGTCTGCATGCACACTACCCTTCCCAGACTCCACATGTGGGAATATACTGGGTATGTTGTTGTTGTTGTATATGTCCGCATTTAACAAGTGATATGCAACTAACAGTTCTAATATCATGCATCTCTACCTAATTACATGTTGCAGGTGAATTTCAGTTGTAGAGCTACAATTACAACTTCAAAGAGCTGACAGAAAGGACCCTCCACTTTCCAGGTAAAACAATCAAAATTGAGATAAGATCAGCATCAGTTAGTATAGCTCAGAAGACTCATTAATGTCCAAAGGCAAGCAAAAAAATAATTTCTCTCAGTCAAAGCAATGACCGGCAGGTAACAGCTCTATGATATTAAAGTACTATAACCAGTCAATTAAAACCATTTCCACCCAAGAACATCTATACCTGAACGATGAATAACATGACCAACATAAACTTTCATACTTTAGAGGGTCATTCACAAGGTTAGCGTCACGGTACTCTCACCACCTTCCTATCGTCTAGTAGCCCAATTGAATACAAATGCGGAATTAGCAGAAAACACTACAGATGCCAAGTTACCGGCCTCTTTAACTAAACCAATTCAAGGTATTGATTCTGTGCAGGTTGCAGAACGACGGGCAAAGATGTGCTCCAATAATTATCAGGAACAACTTCTTTTAATAACCAAGAAATTACCAAGGGCCAAAGGGACACAGTTCGAAACCCGACGGATAATGGGCCCACGCCTCTACCCTTCACTTAATCACCAGGCCTTTGTCTCAGGCAGGGTTCAAAGCCCTAACATGCTGAGTTGCACTCTTACCATTAGACCAAAGAACAACTTATTATACCTACTTATCAAAAAGGAACAACTTATTATACCTTCAAAGCATATGATGGAGAGCTGACTGCTTAAGCATGGTCATATTTCTTCCTCTACTATTAAGATGTCCTAACCACTGGATTAAAGAGACCAGAAATCCATACTTCATGTACCTCAACTCCTACAAAAAAAGATGTTCGTTTCTTCAACCCTCTTTCTCTCTTTTGTTTTAATTTTAATTTTTTTTTCTGTGTGTGTNCCCCTCAAAATCACTCAAACCCTAATTTAGCCAACTTTTCCCCCTTTTTACAAACACAGACAACCCGTGTACCAGTATCTATCTATATATATACAAACTTTTATGAAAAAATTTCGAAATCCTTACGTCTTCTTCGGAAAAGTTAACAATACAAAGGGGATAATAAAATTAGTAAAAATTTAAATACATTAAAAGCGAAATAACACTTACTGGTACTTTCTTTTGAAAAAGTAAAAGATTTAGAAAAAAACAAAATTCTTAGCAGATTCGGTTTTCTCGGGGCATCTATTAAGGACCAATAGGATGCTTACACGTAAGATTGAAGTGAGAGAGTTTTCTGGATTGACTCACACTTAAACTTTACCACGACTAGACTGCAGACGGGAGAGGTAAGTACAAAGGATGTGTAAGGAAATAACAATCACCTTATTATTTTATTTTATTTTATTATCCTATGACTTTTTGTCGTTTTCCCAAGTTTTTTAATGATGTTTGACCGGTCTCAGGAGTGGGGAAATTTTTTTGAGGTATTTGCCGGTTTTTACGGGGCATTCCATGTATACACGTTTTTTGGGTCACGTTTTAACTTATGTTTGCTTTGTAAAAAAAATTGCAAGTGTACCCACTTTTTCGCGTAATTTCAGTATACGGGACTGAAGTAGCAAAGGCAATCACGCAAAACTTCAGCATTCTAGTAGACGGGCCGGAAGTAGCAAAAATTTCAGCAGATGATGCTGAAGTTATTTAGTTCATTTGTAAAAACTTCAGCACTAAATAAGCTAAAGTTTTTTTGTCCTAGATAAGTTTTTTCAAAAACTTTAGCAGAAGATGTTGAAGTTATTTAGTTCATTTGTAAAAACTTCAGCACTAAATAAGCTAAAGTTTTTTTGTCCTAGATAAGTTTTTTCAAAAACTTTAGCAGAAGATGTTGAAGTTATTTAGTTCATTTGTAAAAACTTCAACACTATATAAGCTGAAATTTTTTTGTCCTGGATTTATTAGTTTTGTCATAAAGCTTTTTCAAAAACTTCAGCAGAAGATGTTGTAGTTATTTAGTTCATTTGTAAAAACTTCAGCACTATATAAGCTGAAGTTTTTTTGTCCTGGATTCATTAGTTTTTTCATAAAGCTTTTCCAAAAACTTCACCAGAAGATGCTGAAGTTATTTAGTTCATTTGTAAAAATTTCAGCACTATATAAACTAAAGTTTTTGAAAAAGCTTTCTAACATACTAGATAAATAATCACCTTATTCTTTCATAGTATATTACTACTATAAAATAATTTGATTGTCAATAGTATCTAAATTATGAATTTTGGAAACAATAAACGTGAAAAGAACATAATTACGTGGAAATATTCACAAATTATTATCTACTAATTTACGTAATTATTTATAATTTATTTTTAAATAATCTGATAAACATACTTATGGCAATCATCCCGTGAACTGAAGTTTCATAGCAGCACCAACAATAGCAGAAGAAAGAAGAAGAAGAAGAAGAAGAAGAAGAAGAAGAAGAAGAAGAAGAAGAAGAAGAAGAAGAAGAAGAAGAAGAAGAAGAAGAAGAAGAAGAAGAAGAAATGGGGCTGAAGTTGTTTAAAAAGTGAGTACAAGTTAAAATCTTTGAAGGCATGTGGAATCTTTCACCTGGTGGAAAGATGTTATACATTCTTTAATCTTTCACCTTAGGAATGATTCAATATGTGGAATCAAGACAAAAGAAATCAAGTCACCATTCAAGTTAAAATGATTCTCACTGAATGTGTCCATTTCACAAGTGTGGGTGCCAATATATTTCCCACAATCCACATATTTGTTTTCAACTTTCTCACACGCAGCATCCATGTACAACCTTGAAACCATCTATGACAAATAACATTATATACTTCCGGAGATGAATCGTGAACCACGATCTCATGACACTCTTTTATGTTGTACATTCGCACCACCCTGCTTAGACATGCTTTATCAGCAAAAAGCATATTCTTTGACAGCACTGTTGGTTTAGATTCATCCCATATTATTGTCCGAATATCGTCAAGATCCCTTGTGATGGCATCCACCTCTGTTATACTAGGCAACTAATCAAGGTAGGGAATCTCCCTTGAATGAAATGGTACATGAGACTCGTACACTCTCGGTCTAACGGGAAGTGGAGTCTGCATATATGGAGCATGCTCATTGGCGGCATCATATTCCCTCGTCAAATCAGGTTTATCATTCTCGTCCTCATCATCATCAGGGAAGAGTGTGTCATCTCCAGACTCATCAGCTTTGTTGTTATAATCACTATTATCTTCCCGACTCTGCACATCTGCCAGATCCCGATTAAATATATCGTCTTCGGGCAATTGAGTAAGGACATGGGGCACAATAATTGCGGGTATAGCGTATGCATAATATGCGCTACATGTTATAACCTCAATTATTTATGGGTTAGTAAAGTTCAGGTGAATTATTGGTGGGTCAGTAAAGTTTACATATAGCACATGTAACCCATGTGCTATACCTTAATGGACAAATGTGTCGTTAAGGTATAGCGCATTGAAGAAATGCATTATATATAAAATGGTTCTAAATTATTTTTTCACTTATTTTTTGTGCTTTGAGTCAAAAAAGGCAACACTTTGGTTCTGGACTCTTATTTTGTTTACTTTAAGGTGTTCGGAAGATAAAGGGATATTGTTGCAGGGTGAACATGTAATATCCTTTTTCTTCTACTGAGTTGTTTGGTATAATGTATTAGAAAAGATTATATATATATACACACACACACACACACACACACACATATATATATATATATATGCATTTTAGTTTTTCCTGAGCCGAGGATCTATTGAAAACAGTTTCTTTACCTACACAAGGTAAGGGTAAGATCTGCGTACACACTACCCTCCCCATACCCCACTATGTAAAATTACACTGGGTATGCTATTGTTTTGTGTGTGTATATATATGTATATATATATATATGTATATATATATATATATATATATATATATATGATATTATTAATCTCTTGTTTAGTAATAGTACTTTTTAACTTATTCTTATACAGAACAAATCACGGGATTAGCAGTACCATAGTTTTAATACATATATAAAGACAAAATTGGTTTTAATGCACCATATAAGACAGTCGATAAGAAATAATCTCATCATTACAAATACATCATATTTAATACCATTCTTATACACCCTACCAAACGATACTTTAGACATGGCTGTCCAAAAACCTTTTATGGAAATTCTTTCTTTATATTATCACTTGAAAGTATTTTTGAAAAAGCTTTTTAAAAAGATCTTTTGAAAATATTAAGAATTCAATGCAAGGATTATGGTCTAGCACCATAAAAAAATAAGGCCAAATATATAAATAACTTTCTAAAATTGATATCACTTCACGTTTTGATACCCCAACTAACTCTTATGCCTATTAGACGCTTCAACGCCGATCAAAGTATACCTTATCAAACACATTATATTGACATGACACAAAGAGTGACTCTCACTTAATTTGAGCACTGAATAGTTTATGTTATGTTGATATGGATAATAAAATATTAATATCTCTTCTCTCTAACACCACCTTGTTCCCCATCTTCTTCCTGCTTTCCTCCCATTTAAATTCCACCATTTTTTTATTCTCAAAAAAATATTTTGCTACTATTTTAGCTGATCTGTATTTTCCTAGTGTTAAATTTGGCCTTCACTAAGACATAGGATAAGTTGGTTCTCCGTTAACATTTGTATGTGAGTAACTAAGCTTTTTGTTGTTTTAATTGAATAATCTATAGCATTAATTGAGACTTGATGAACACCATATTTTATATACTTTCAAAGAAATTTGGAGTAAAACAAGTGAAAACAAGACAAAAAATTGAGTCAAAAAGAAGAGGCTTGAAATTTTGATAGAGAACTATGTTTGGGAAGAGTATTTTCAGCTCAACCACACCATGGATTGGAGATTGAAGCTACAGTTAAAGAGTTTTTTATTCATGTTGTAAATGTTGTTGACCATGCATTATTCATTCAAGACATGATTTATAAATTATTCTAATATCTATTATGACTTCAAATGGTGGTATGAAGTATGTATGATATGTGTTACTCATCAGAACTAAAAGAGACACACTTTTTCTGACTTATCAAATGTGCCATATGAACTCACTTGGATTACTTTGTGAATAAAATCACTAGTGATATTGGATAGATAGGTTGGTGTTATCCATCACTCTCCTATTTTGAAATTATTTGGCCGACTGATATGAATTCTCTATATTATTTTTGCATGATGATTGAACTTCCTAAAGCCTATTTATGCTTGTGTGACGGCCAGCCTGAAGTCCGTTATATGTTATCGTACTTACAATTATATGATAAAATACGAGTTTGCCGATGGGTAGCATGCTTACTAGGTTCATATTGAGCAAGTACAAGAAATTGACAATCNTTGGAGTTTTATTATGCCATGCAATCAAGGGGTGACTCATTTGTCCTTACGAGGTTTTCTCACGTTGAAGGCTCTACAGTTATTTCACACATAATTCAACATACTCTTAACTCTTTATTGATGAGTAAGAACATATTTTAGCTGCTCTTGAATGATTGGAGTTACATGGGATAGGGAGACAGTTGACCACCATTGAGGTACTTAATATTATTGTTAATTGGGCAATAATTTGAATACTTAATATATATGATATATAAATTACCCATATTGTATTAGTATATTGTTTATTGGTACATAATAAGGTAGAACTAGTCAAACAACTCGTACCTGGCTCGATATCTAAGACCATAATATTAAGCATCAATAATAATGACTATACACAAATGATTGATATAACCAAACCAAATGATGTCTTTTGGCTTGCAAGGTAAAAATCTAATTGTCAAGAGTACATTAGCTTGGTCTTGGCCAAAGAAGTCAGTCTACAATA